TTTATATTTATGGCTGGAGACAAAGCATCAGGCACAAGAATTCCTATTCTTACTAAAGTAAATTTATTTTTAAAAAGTGTTAAGGTATAGTGAGGTTTTTATTTTTGTTTGTCCATTTATTGTGAACTAAGCTGTGTTTCCACTTATTTCTGATAAAAACACTCGACATCTCCAACATGCAAGTTTCACAAGTTCTTGTTGTCTTGGATATCTTCAAATGACCCTTGACCTTTGGATGTGGTAGGTTTGGTCTTTATGCATATAGTACTTATAGAGTAACTGGTGTATAATGGCATTCTGGAATTAAATTCCTGAACCAGTTGACCTGATTTGGCTCTGTTTAACTTATCTATAGCAATGATTGTCACATTTGATGGTTTTGTGTTGAGATAGTGAAGACAAATATTGATTTGTTTACAAACAAATAGAAAATCCCCCACCTGAAATGCAATGAATTCCTTATTTGCCAAAAAGTAATGAAACATTATCATGCAATTGTTCTTTAACAGCAAGCAAGGATATAACAATACAGTTTACTTATCTAGACATTTTACTGCCTATCTCATTAATATGCAATAGTGACAATAATGAGGTTAAGGAAAACTGATAATTTCATTAGGACAGGTATTATCCAGAGAGAAAAGTAATTAATTTTCGTGTCTGGATGTTTGGCCAAATGATAGTAACTTCATCAGAGAACTTTCTAAATGGTCCTGACATGCATGCCATTTTATTTTGTTCTATTGGCCCACCAGAACAAGTTATAATGTAATTTCTCTTTTTGAAATATTCTATTTTATTACATTTCTAATGGCCCATCAGAACAAGTTATAATATAATTTCTCTTTTTGAAATATTCTATTTTATTACATTTCTAATGGCCCACCAGAACAAGTTATAATGTGATTTCTCTTTTTAAAATATTCTATTTTATTACATTTCTAATGGCCCACCAGAACAAGTTATAATGTTATTTCTCTTTTTGAAATATTCTATTTTATTACATTTCTAATGGCCCACCAGAACAAGTTATAATGTGATTTCTCTTTTTGAAATATTCTATTTTATTACATTTCTATTGACCCACCAGAACAAGCTAAATTGTGATTTCTCTTATTGAAATATTCTATTTTATTACATTTCTATTGGCCCACCAAAACAAATTTTAATGTGATTTCTCTTTTTGAAATATTCTTTTTTTACTACATTTCTTTTGACCCACAAGAACGCGTTATGTGATGTCTCCATTTTAAATATTCTGTTTTATATTGATTCTAATGACCCATGACAAACACTAATTAATGCTATTTTCCCTTAAAAAATATTCTTTTATTTTGGTTCTATTGGTGCACAAAAACAAGTGTTAATGTGATTTCTCCTTTTTAAATATTTTATTTTGGTTCTAATGGCATATAACAAGCAAGTGTAATGCTGTTTCTCATTTTTAGATATCCTCTTTTATTTTGGTTCTATTAGCCAATGAGAAACAGTTACAATGTGATTCCGCCTGTTTGAATGCCATGTGTGCACACTTATAAGACAAGTCTAACTGGAAACTGCAGAGACACAGATTTGCTGTGGCATAATGTGCTGGCAGATCTGGGTCTGTGCTGTTTGTTTGGAGTAATCTGTCAGACAAATAGCATAGACTCTGATCTGCAGGTACTTTATGCTATGGCAGATAATGGTATTTGTTATTTGTAGTTTGACTTGTCTTATAAGTGAATACATACATTATTCTGTTTTTTTGTGTTCTATTGCACTTAGAGGATGTTAAATCACCACTCATTATAAGACTCTTTCACTTATAATATGTTTATGACTCCCATTTTCATCATTATTAAGGGAGAGCACTATATAACACACCTTCACTTTAATGCCATCTATTATCACATTCCTGTTATAAGTCAGGTATGGTCACAGATCCCATTTCATTAAGTGGTAGCAAATTAATATGTATAATGTATTTCATTATAAGGCTGTCTTGCTATAAGACAGCATAATGTATGAGTACTATGGAAAGTATTATATAATAAGGGAGTACTTTGATAGATATTCGCATTATGTAATTTGATATGAAATAAACATGTTTTTGAGGGGCTTGCAAGATGTAACTTAGATTGATCTTATCATGGTATTATTTCATTTGTAATTAAGTCCTGACAAACAAGTAGAACTCCTGGAGGTCAGTATACGAAATGGGAATTTTGACAATAGGATTCACAGTCAAGTTATTTTGTTCAAAACATCTTTATATGAAACTGTGATGGCAGATTTATTATGTAGATAAAAGATCCCTCCCTGATTGGTTAATCTAACCTCATTTAGCTCACAGTAAAATATTGTTAACATTGAGGTCACTTTAGACCATGTATGACTAGACCAATACACACACCGAATATTGTGTCAAACTGCTGCCAAGGCATGCAGGCTGCAGGCAGACAATCTGATAATCATTTATGACCAAGTTTAATTCATGGTAATAAAAGAATATACCAAGGTTTACCTTCAAGACTTTGGCTTTTCATAACCTCATCATATAAATCTTATAATTTTTTAATCCTGTTTGAGAGAGAGAGAGAGAGAGAGAGAGAGAGAGAGAGAGAGAGAGAGAGAGAGAGAGAGAGAGAGAGAGAGAGAGAGAGAGAGAGAGAGAGAGAGAGAGAGAGAGAGAGAGAGAGAGAGAGAGAGAGAGAGAGAGAGAGAGAGAGAGAGAGAGAGAGAAAAAAACCTGTACTTTTTCCACTGTAGAAAGTATATTTGTATCAATTAGGCAGTCATTTTGGAAGCACTGTAATGTCACCAACATTTGGTAAATAACAATCACTTCCTACCTAACTTTATACAGGCCTTTGTTTTTAACAAAAATCAAGAATTACTTGTTTGTGAACAAACTAATTTTACATGATTTCAAATTCAAATGATCATTACATCTAAAGTAAATGATACACCTAAACTTTCTTCTTTCAAGATAACAACCTAAATATGTTGCATCAAAAATAAATCCACTTTTACATATTTTCAGGTGTTTCTACCCAGGGACTTTTCAGGTTTTTTTCTCACCAGATGTACTGGTTGCCCTGTATAGCCTATCATCTGTGGAAAACTGGAATTAAGCCCCATAAAACCAAACCAAACATTTTCATTTCATATGTAAATCTTAATAATAATAATAATAATAATAATAATAATAATAATAATAATAATAATAATAATAATAATAATAATAATAATAATAATAATAATAATAATAATAATAATAATAATAATAAATATGCAACATTAAATAAAACATAAATATTATTATTATTTAATAATAATAATAATAATAATAATAAATATGCAATAATAAATAAATAATAAATATTATTATTATTATTATTATTATTATTATTATTATTATTATTATTATTATTATTATTATTATTATTATTATTATTACTTAAATGTGGGTATGTGAGAAAGCTTGCCAGTAGCTTCTCGTGGGTCGGTGGTTCTTTCCGCGGATTTCCCAGTTTCTTCCTCCACCAATAATACTGGCCGCCATGAATAGCCTATCGTGTGCTGAAAAATGGCGTCAAGCCTAACAACAAAAATTATTATTTAAAGTGGGTGATTAAGTTAGTTTATGGAACAACAAAAATTATTATTTAAAGTGGGTGATTAAGTTAGTTTATGGAAGTAATCTGTAGTCTGTTGTTGAGTCAGGTGCCGGTTTAGAGGGAAAGGAGTATTTTGTCCCAATTTTCTAATTAAAACAGTAAAATTTTGACGGAAAAAAAGAAGAAAAATGCAAGTCCAAAAACAATGCATTCATCATCATTATTGGTTTAGTATGCTTTGGTTTCTAAGACATCAACACACTGTCAGGCAGGTTAGCTACTATTAGAGGTAATTGGTGTAAAGTACCTTGACCAGCAGGACATGCCAGATAAGGTCCATCCTGGTCTGATACAATGGTAGGATTCAAGCCACACCCATTCAGTCACAAGTTTGGGACCTAGCCAAGAATCATCATTGCTCTTGTAGCCATTAGGTGCCTTTTAGCTTGCTTGGGGGTGTGACTGTATTGAGTTTATTGGTTGTCTTTTATGACATGCATGATTACAGATCCCACCCATTATACATGTCAAAGCCCCTTGTGAGTGTGAATGTTGTTGTTGTTGTAGGATTTAACACCATTTTTCAGCACAAGATAGGCTATACATGGTGGTGGCCAGTATTAATGGTTGAGGAAGAACCCTGGAAAACCCAGGGAAGAACCACCAACCCACGAGAAGCTATTGGCAGGCTTTCTCACTTACCCACGTTAGTTAGCTAAGTCTGGACTCAACTCACACAGACAGAGGTGAGATGGCAGTGATCTTTCTCAATGTAACAAGTCCATTAATGGTCATTTTATGACATACATGATTATACATGGAGCTCATTTTATAATACATGTCAAAGCCACTTGTGAGTGTGAATGTATCAAGTTCATTGGTCATCTTTTACGAGATGCATGAATCAGGCCCATTGTACATATCAACGCTGCTTGTGAGTGTGAATGTAACAAATCCATTGATCCTCATTTTACACATGCATGATTATACATTGAGCCCATTATACATATCAAAGCCTCTTGGAATGAGTGAATGTAATGATGAGAATTTGTGTTATCACTTTAGTGATTAACTGGCTAGAAATTTTTACTAGGTGTTGCATAAGACAATACTTTAGATGCGATGTGACTATGATTTTAAACCTAGCTTTAACAATTTTTCAGTCATATCCCTACAATATCTGCAGTGTGGCAGTTTTTAGTGATGTCTAGCACTGGGGCATCATGCCACAGACATGTAGCTCAATATCCCACCCAGTCAAATTAACCTGACACCAGGCCCACCAATCCTGACACCAGGCCGACCAGTCCTGACACCAGGCCGAAAAGTCATAACACTAGCCTCTTAATGCTGAGCATCAAGCGAGGAAGCTGTTAGTACCTTTTTATAAGTCTAGTATGACTCAACTGGGGATCGAACCCACGACCTCCCACATCCAATGTGGATGCTCTAACCACTAGGCCACCTGAGCGGTTCAGTACTTTAGTACATTGAGCCTCAAAAAACTAAATTTTAATCCTATAGTCTCTAACACATACAGTTTGCTTAACAATCCATATTGCTCAAACTTATTTTAAGACCTAGAAAATAGTTTTAGTTATATTATCTACAGATCACTTGCATCAATTCATTGGGTTCCCAGGGTGTTTCAAATTTATTGAGATAGATCAATTCAGAACAGTACAAAACTTATGAATAATCTGATTGAATTAAAATAATTGTGCTTGACCCAGGAGCAACAATACATATTCAATTTTAGTTATAAAATTCAAATTCCAGAGAGAAAGTCACCATGATTAAGAATGGGAGAGCCACGAATCACTTCCTCATGTCCTCAAACGTAAGATTGGTATCCCATAATTTCATACTTAAGAATGATATTCCATAATTTGGTGGCGCTCTACAATTTTGTATTTAGCATAGGGTTAGAATTTTAAAGAAAAATAGTTCCCCCGGGTTTCCTCACTAGTTATACTGGCTATTTAAAAGAAACTTTGTATATCTTAGGTATTGTTCAAAGAACCTTTAATTCCCTTTATATTGATGTATGATTGATGGGTGTAATATGGGTTAGAGAGTATACAGCTTGGCCTTACTCCAGATGTGCATCTTTCAAAAACATGCTAGCTCTACTTGCTCATTTCCATTTCTCAAACTTTAGAGGTAAATTGTAAAAAATAGAGCCGCTAACTTTTTTTTACTTTTTATGTATTTGGTAATTCAATCATTGCACTTATAAAATCAAGTAATGTCTAGTTTGCAAAATTAATTTTCCATATTTTAATAGCTACCAAGAATAGTGTACTTTAGACAAATTCAGGTTGATTTTTGGAGCACAAGGGAGCAGTCATTTTAGTTAGCAGTGTCCTAAGATCATTTAAAATTTCCAAAAGTACAATATACAAAGACATTTCAGCCACATTACATGAAAGTAGCATGCCAACATTCTCTCCACTATGCATGTTTAAAATACAAACAACTTCACCTTACATACATCACTCTCTCAAAAGTACATAATACCTGGTGACTGCTACCTTTTGTGCTTGTGACTGCTATCCCATAATTTCATTCTTTAAATTGCTATCCCATAATTTCATACTTTAAATTCTATCCCATAATTTCCTACTTGAGATTACTATATCAGAAGTTCACACTTAAGATTATTATGCCATAATTTTATACTTAAGATTGATATTCTATAATTTCGTGCTCTAGTTTGATATCCCATAATTTTATCCTTAAGATTTTTCACAGCTGATTGTGGTACAGTATGTGGTCTACAGATTGATTAATACCAGTACTTCTGGTAGTTCTTCTGGCATTGACTGTCATATATTTCATTTTGTATTGGGACATTTTTACATGCAGATGAAAAATACCATGTACTGGTCATTGAATTAATTTGGCACTTGCTAAATTAATATATTATTGCTGAATCAGCATAATCTGTGTTCATTTCAGACATGAGTTTATAAAAGCGTTATTACAGTATTCAACAAAATGACCTTGATGTTTTACATAAATACAAGGCTTGATCTTAGCTTTGTGTTTCAACCTAGGTTTTAGTAATAATAATAACAGTCAATTATATAGGTTTTTGTGTAAACATTTCTGCAGATCAATCACAGTCATTGTAATCACTGAATGGTTTGCAGGTAAGACTAATAGAGTCTGTATTGGGGTTCATCAAAGATACAAGAAAATTCCAGTTAATTGGCATCTTTACATGTCATGAATAGAAGCCACTATGAAGCAAATGACAAATAATTAATTTCCAATACTTTCCTTGTTTCTTTACCAACCCATATGTTGATTATATTTCTCACCCGTTGACTTATTAAATGATATTTTATGAATTATTCATAAAAATTCATTTAATTCTGTCATGTATGCACTTAGTGAGTCGAATGGAGTAGCTCTGCTGGTCAAGCATCTGAATTGTAAACCAAGGGTCATGGGTTCAGTACCTGCCAAGACCAGCCCTGGTCAGCTGCCTCAGTGTGTCGCTGAGAAAGGCATTTAGATCACATTTTCTTAATATATGTATATCAATCATATGTTAAAAATGCAGTTAAATGCCAATGAACAACAACACATCCTTAACTGCCGACATGCAATTGATATCATTTTCATGAAATGAGCCTGATTACACTTCCAAGCAGAGAGTTATGAATTAACATGTATTTCAGATTGCTAAAACGTGCAGACCAAGATGTGTGGTACACCTGTTTGTCAGTTACATATATAGCAGGTTGTGTGTGCTTCTCACAAAAAGACCAAAGACATGTGGCCTACATGTTTGTCAACTAACACAAGTTAAAAAACCACAAAGATCACAAAGATCACAATTTTTTTTATGAAATTCTTTTTGATATATGTGACAAGTTTAGCAGAACCCTTGTTAAGTGCTATTCTGTTCCTTAACTTGACTGATTGTGAATTTTTTACCTAAAGAAAATGAGTTGTACACTAATCTGTTTAGATAAATGGACAAAAAGTCACACTGGACAAAAGATCACATATATACTTGGGACAGAAAGTCACACTTGACAAAAGATCACATATATACTAGGGACAGAAAGTCACACTGGACAAAAGATCACATATATACTTGAGACAGAAAGTCACACTTGACAAAAGATCACATATATACTAGGGACAGAAAGTCACACTGGACAAAAGATCACATACATAATTGAGACAGAAAGTCACACTTGACAAAAGATCACATATATACTTGGGACAGAAAGTCACACTTGACAAAAGATCACATATATACTTGGGACAGAAAGTCACACTTGACAAAAGATCACATATATACTTGGGACAGAAAGTCACACTTGACAAAAGATCACATATATACTAGGGACAGAAAGTCACACTTGACAAAAGATCACATATATACTTGGGACAAAAAGTCACACTTGAGAAAAGATCACATATATACTTGGGACAGAAAGTCACACTTGAGAAAAGATCACATATAAACTTGGGACAGAAAAACACAATGGATAAAAGGTCACAAATTTGCTTGGAACAGAAAGTCACAGGACAAAGTCACAAAAGACAGAACCTTACAGAACAAAACATCACAATTTATCATAGTAATGGTGGACATGTTGGCTAAGAGTCACAATTTTAATTATGATAGCCGTTATGAACATGTAAGATAAAGGCCACAGTTTGAATTATCATAGTTATTGTCACATGTAGGAAAGAAGTCTCATTCTGTAATTATTACTCTTAATGATTGTAATAGATCTAGAGACAGGTTTGTTATTAGCCCTGCAAGGGTGGAATTACATATGGAACTTGAAAGTTAGGATGGCCTTACAATGGTAGCCTTGCGTGTGGTCCTTTTCAAGGGGCCTTACAATTGGGTCTTACAAGAGTGGTCTCACACATGGGCCCTACAAGGGTGGCCTTAAACATGTGCTTTACATGCCAGCCTTACATATGAGCCTTATACAAGGGCAGCCTTACACATGGGCTACAATGATGGCCTTAAATATGTGCCTTACATGCCAGCCGTACATATGGGTCTGATACAAAGGCAGACATACATGGGCCTTACAAGGTTGGCCTTACATATGGACCTTTGAAAGGGTGGCTTTACATATGGACCTTTCAAAGGGTGGACTTACATGGGGACTTTTGTATTAACCATAGTATTATTCCACCATACCTTATTTGGAGAGAAACTTCTAATAAGAAAATTTGTAAATTATTCTGTTTCTAGATTCATTCTAGACAGAGCTAAGAACAACCAAAATGAATGATATTAAAATGTTTATAGTAAGTGAATGAATTGTTATGAAAGGGGCTAAACATGTGCACATAGTGATTACAATATGGCCAGATTATATCCCAAGCAACTATTCAATGCTAGAAACAAGTCAACATTCCCAGTTGTTTTATTTGTAGTTGGAGCCATAACAGGCTGTCAAAGGAAACTCAAGAAAGTGCCATTGTAAATAAATTTATTTATGCTTTGGCTCCATGGATCAAAAGTGGAACTGCTCAATTTGACAAGTACATTTCAAAGTATAAATTCTCAAGCCTTCCAGTTTGTTACCTCACTATGTTTGCACTATATATACCTACTTTGATCGTGTTCTCATAACATTTTCAGTTCTGTGCAACTATTTGTGTGACATTCAGTAATTAAAGTCTACATTATTATTATAATTTTTATTATTATTATTATTATTATTATTATTATTATTATTATTATTATTATTATTATTATTATTATTATTATTATTATTATTATTATTAACTCTCCTGTTGATTATAAAACTATTTTCATAAGGAGAACATTTTATTGGTCTAATGCAAGTTGATGTCAATCACTTCTTCAGCATAATTAAATATCTTTCAGCCATGTATTTTAATCAAAATGAGAGTGACCAATTTGAGAGTATTTTGGTTGACCTTTATTTTCTTAAACAATTTATGTGGAATTAGTATTTTTAAATTTCAGGCAATCTTCACAATAGTAGAATTGTTGAATAAATAAAGTAATCCCTTCTTATAACACTATTCAAATGAGTAAAAAAAGTAAGGTACATTATTATATGCAATAAAAGGGATCTATATCAATAACTGCCTCATAAAGGGACTGATATCAGTGAGGTCTTACATTGAGGTACATGGGATCCATGTCTATACCTGAATCATAAAAGACTGATATCAGTGAGGTCTTATATTGAGGTACACGGGATCCATGTCTGTACCTGCCTCATAAAGGGATTAATATCAGTGAGGTCTTACATTGAGGTACATGGGATCCATGTCTATACCTGCCTCATAAAGGGATTGATATCAGTGAGGTCTTACATTGAGGTACACAGGATCCATGTCTATACCTGCCTCATAAAGGGATTGATATCAGTGAGGTCTTACATTGAGGTACACAGGATCCATGTCTATACCTGCCTCATAAAGGGATTGATATCAGTGAGGTCTTACA